AAATTGCTAGTGACTAATTTTTATGTCAATTTAAATAGCTATTTTGTTATTTTAAGGACTTTTTGCCTGACACTTGTTAGTGTTTTCGGGGGCCAAAATTCTTCAAATTAGTGGCATTAATCAGTCTCGACATTCAGATAAGTTCAATTCATGTAACAGGTAGAGATCAGTATACAACTAAAGAATGTGAGTAAATAATATTTTAAAATATATCAAAAAGTCAGTTTTACTATTCTCTTTCAAATTTTAATATGTTTTGACACCCAAAAAAGTGAAAATTTATATAGTTATTGAATGCTATAAAAAATTTGGCAATAAAAGCTTGTCCTAATTTTCTTGTATAATGGGAAGCAAAATCATGTGATTCTTGTGAATAAAGAATAACCAATCTCATAATCAAAAACTACCTATTAATTTAAAAAAATTAAGAATTAAAATAAAAGTTTAATGATTCCCGGCTAATCAAAATAATATTCAATTTATTAGAAGAAATAAAACCAAAATAGTTGATGATTTAGCATTAGTAAAACAGACGCCATCGTATACAAAAATATAGTCATTTGATTCAACAAATTACCATATTTTCATTCATTAAAGAGTGTTTATTGATTGATTAAACTTCAGTTTAGTAAAAGATCTAACGGGTCAGAAAAGGAGAGGGCAATGCGGGGAGAAGAAAATAGAAAGAGGTCATCTGAAGAGAGGAGAGAAGAAGAGAGGAGAGAAGAAGAGAGGAGAGAAGAAGAGGGGAGAGAAGAAGAGAGGAGAGAAGGCTGAGAATCAACTCTCTTAGATAAACAGATTTCGGTATTAGAATACGGTTCATGGAACCTACAACTCAAAAAAGAAAAAAAAGCACAAGAGGAAATACAAGTAAAGGAACAACGGCAGGGGGTGAAGAAATTCTACAAAATGTGTTTTAAATTAAGAGAAATACCAAGGAAGAGATTTCGAATAGGAGGAAGTAAATATTCAGAGAATATGCAATTACTTTTCGGGCATCCAGCCCGGAAGGTAATTCGAATAGTGAATGCTTACACTACTTTTAGACAAACTTCAGGATTGGGAGACTACATATATTTCAAAAGTAGGACACTGCAGGGAAGGAAGAGCACAAAATGAAGGGACGGTGAAAGCAGGGCGTAAAGAAATGATAGCCTTGAAATGATATAATAGTTCAGTCTTTATTGCACGAGTATATCAGTCGATTGTTGGAGTTGCTCAGTGTACTCAGATGACCAGAGGCGAGCCGGTTCGTCGTAGGTGGGAGCTGAACCATGAGGACGAGGGCTCGTTCAGCGAGCGTTGTTGGCGAAGGGGCTCACGCCTTGTTGATCTCCTCCTGCTTCTTGTGGAAGACGGTGACGTCCTTGTAGAAGATGTTGGGCACGAAGAAGTCCGCCTCGCTCTTGATGACGCGGTCGAAGGGGTAGCCGTAGGGCTTGTTGTCCACCACCTGGTAGCCGAAGCCGGCGCCGCACGCGATGTAGCCGGTGTGGGTGTTGAGGGAGTCTCCGCCGTAGGGCGTGATGACGACGTACAGAGCCAAGGGCAGGCCCTGGCGAGAGCCCTTGGGCAGCAGCAGGCGCTCGGGGAAGCCGCAGTGGCGGTGGGCCTGCGAGCAAGGGAGGGCACACGTCACTCAGCGCAGGGGGCGCCTGGCGCGCGGGGCGGGCCACGCGCGGCCAACACTTACAGAGTCCACGTAGTAGGGCTCGCGGCCCTCGATGGCGTCCTCCACCTTCTTGAGCAGCACCCGGGTGATGGTCTGGTCGGGCACCACGGCGCTGGAGTCGCGGGAGCTGCGCTCGATCACCGTCTTGCCGGCGGGCACTGCGCAACAAAACGGGTGGCGGTTAGGCGGCGGCTGAGCGAGGGTGAGGGGGTGAGGGCGAGCGCGGGGGACACTCACGGTCGAAGGGGAAGCGGTCGATCTCGACGAGGTACTGGCGGCGCTCCTCGACGGAGAGCGGGCGGCCCAGGTAGTTGTACTTGGGGCCCAGGTAGAAGCGCACGGCCACGCGAGCGGCCTTGTCGCTGTCCACGGACACGCGCACGCTGAAGGGCTTGTGGTTGAGGCGCGGCTGGCGCACGCGGATGTCCAGCTTCTTGGCCACCTCCACGTTGGGCACCTCCACGGCGGAGTTGAGGTCGAACACGAAGTCGTCCACGTACGTCACCAGCTTGTCCACGTCCACGGCCTCGATCTTCACGCCGGGGAAGGTGAGCTGCGGGCACGGGGCGGGCCTTGGTTAGCCTCCGCCT